TACACTGAGCATCACTGCTTTGCTCTATGTTTCTGGTCACCAGCACTCACAGACGTGTTTTCTCACAGGAGGGACTCATAGCCGGAGAGGCATTTGGATCTCTACTTTATGGTCTTCAATATTTCCAACCCGGATCATGCACATCTACAGGATTTGGATGTGATAAGAAACCACGGGAAGGGCTCTGTGTGTAGACACCCACGCTCTAACTCCTTTAGAGTTACGATCCGCTTGACTTCCTTTCCTTCTAGAAAAACTAGAGCTTGGGAGTCTTACTATCAATTATCTCTTGTTTTTGTTTGTTTTGGTTTGCTGGGGCAAGTAGGTTACTTCCGCTTGGAATTTCCAGTTGTTTTGAGTTGAGGGATTCTCCCCTTCCTCCCCTTCTGGAGCAGTACCTTCTTCCTTTCTCTTTCCCTCACCCACACCCAGAGTAGCCGGATGTTTTTCCCCAAAGCAAACCAAGTGGCCGATTCCAGCACACCCAAATAAAAACCATGAGCGGAGCATCATGACACGGTCTTCAGCCTCATAGGTCACATTTTTGGCAAATGGCTGTATCCTGTTAACTGTCATTCCCATGGTGTCCAGCTTCCCCATTCATCTATTACATGACTTTTCCTGGCTTCAGAATGGTCCATATTGATTAAAAGGGGAAGAAGAACAGTCATTCTTCTACATTGAACATGGGAGGAAAAGTGTATTTTAGAGATTTTATTCTTAATTCCAGAGAAGGAAGTTGCCATCCCTACAGGAGTTGGAGAGAGTCTGGTCCAGGATGGAGGAGACTCAGGAGGAAAACTATGAGTATCCTTCCTGTGTCAACTCATTAGAACATTTTATCATTTTGTGCTCTAATAATCAACAAAGCTACACCTATTAGCTCACAGAGTCTACTGAACTCAATTTTTGAACACAGTGAATGAACCTACATTTACACAGCCCTATAGATAGTATAGTACAGGCACTGGCTGTTTTGGAGGAGAGACTGAGCAACTGTTTGCAATAATGCAATACTGTAATCAGCATGGACCCAAAGCAGCTTGGGGAGGAAAAGGTTTATTTCCTCTTATAGGTTACAGTTCATCATTGAGGGAGGCCAAGGCAGGAGTTCAAGACAGGGGCCTGGAGCAGACACCCACTTCCTGTTTTGTTCCTAGGCTCATGTCCATCCACCTTCCTTCTACGTGTGTGCATATCCACACACCCAGAGGTGTTAACGGTCCACAGAGGGCTGGGTCTTCCTACATTAATCAATGACCACGAAAATGCCCCACGGCCATGGCCACTGTCCAATCTGACGGAGGCAATTCTTCAAGCTTCCTGGTCCCAACAGCGTCAAGTTGACAACCCAGGTTAGCCATCACAAGGGATGACTGTGCAGTCACTTCCCATTCTTTCTGTCTTTCCTACTGCCTCTCTGCCCACACATCTGTCTATAACCTCCCATCATTATCTATCTGTTTCACCTACCTGTCATCTCCTGTTATGCAGCTCTTACCTTTCTTCTCAGTTTCCCTGTCGGGGCAGTAAAACACTCTGGCCAAAGCAACTTAAGGGTGAGAGGGTTTACTCTGGCTCATCATTTCAGGCCCAGTCCATCATGGTGTGGATATCAAGGCAGCGGGGGGCTTGACGCAGCTGGCCACATCATGTCCTCATTCAGAGCAAGGAGTAGTCATGCTCAACTGATTCTCTCCATTTTGTGCAGTCAGGATTGCCAGCCCAGGGAATGGTGCCACCCACCATTAAGATGGGCCATCCCATATCAATGAACACATGACAGTCCTCCACAGGTATGCCTGTAGGCCAACTTCCAGGTGAGTCTAGATTCTATCAAGTTGATAATTAACACTAGTCTTCATACCGGTTCATCTATTGATCTATGGGTTTGCTTCTTATTGTGGTAACATTGCCTTTCATTTTGAAAAGAAATTCTACACATATGGAAGAAGGACTCCCCTTCCATCTCCTCACAAGCCCAAGTGCTCTCTGAAGATCATCTATTCTAGGAACCTCAGTGGAGACATGTTCATCCTTTAGGACCTGGCTATACCATTGATGTCTCCAACTTCATGCTATAATTGGCATGAGAGCGTCTTTCTTTTTTCAAGATTCATTTTTCATTTGTCCCTCTTTGTGTGTATGCTCTGTATGCATGCATGTGTGTGTGTACCCACAGAGGCCATTAAGTGATGTTGGATTCCCTGGAGTTACATAGGGCTGCGAGCTACCTGACATGGGAACTGGAATCTGGTTCTCTGTAAGTGTTCTTAACTGCTCAGTGCATAATTTCTTTTCATTCAAAAGCATGATGATAACCCATCATCACAGTGCAACATTTTGTTTATTCAATCACTTGGTGATGGGCGTTTGGGGTATTTCACCTTCATCAGTGCGGAATTCTGGTTGAGTGCCTGCCTACTTCTCTCTCTCTCTCTCTCTCTCTCTCTCTCTCTCTCTCTCTCTCTCTCTCTCATGTATGCAGTGAACTTTATGGTATTCAAGAGAATAGGGCTCCCTGAGTCTCCCTCCTTCTTTTGGGGGTCTGGGATGGAAACTGTGAGGGAGATACTCTGTGTCCAGGGCTGAGTTGGGATAGAGACTCATCCTCAGCAGCTTAGGGCTTCTCTCTTGCTCTTGTGTCCTTTCTGGGGCAGGTGGTCTAGGACTTCTTACTCCTTGGAGGCCATGTAGGCCATGAGGTCCACCACCCTGTTGCTGTAGTCATATTCATTGTTATACCAGGAACTGAGCTTTACAACGTTGTCATTGAGAGCAATGCCAGCCCCAGCATCAAAGGTGGAAGAGTGGGCATCACTGTTAAAGTCCCAGGAGACAACCTGCTCCTCAGTGTGGACCAGGATGCCCTTTAGTGGATCCCCACATGCCTTCTTCACCAACTTCTTGATGTCATCATACTTGGCAGATTTTTTCCAGATGGCATGTCAGATCCATGACAGACACATTGGACATAGGAACATGGAAGGCCATGCCTGTAAGCTTCCTGTTCAGTTCTGGGATGACCTTGCCCACAGCCTTGGCAGCACCAGTGGATGCAGGGATGATGTTCTGGGCAGCCCCATGGCCATCATGCCACAGCTTCCTAGAGGGTCCATTCACAGTCTTCTGGGTGGCAGTGACAACAATGACTGTGGTCATGAGTCCTTCCATAATGCCAAAGTTGTCATGGATGATGTTGGTCAAAGGGTGCTAAGCAGTTGGTGGTGCAGGAAGCATTGCTGGCAATCTCTAGTGGGTTATCATACTTCTTATGATTCACACCTATCACAGCCATGAGGGCATCAGCAGAAGAGGTGGAGATGATGACCCTTTTGGCCCCACCCTTTAAGTGAGCCCCAGCCTTCTCCATGGTGATAAAGATGCCAGTAGATTCCACAACATACTCGGGCACCAGCATCACCCCATTTGATGTTGGCGGGATCTTGCTCCTGGAAGATGGTAATGGCCTTCCTGTTGATGAAGAGCTTCCCGTTCCCAGCCTTGACTGTGCCATTGAACTTGCCATGGGCAGAGTCACACTGTAGTCACACTGGAGCCTGTAGCCCATGTAGTTGAGATCAATGAAAGGGTCATTGATGGCCACAACATCCACTTTGCCAGACATGAAGGAAGCCCCGGTAACCAGGCTCCCAATACCGCCAAATCCGTTCATTCTGACCTTCACCATCGTGTCTCAGGGATGAGGCTGGCCCTGCACGAGAAGATGCAGCAGACTCTGGAAGCGGGAGGAGCAGAGAGCCCTGTGTTGAACTTTTTGAGGAGTCGGCAAACTGCCTTTCACAGCTTTAGTTTACCATTTCACAGGGTGGGACATGGAAGCCAGAGAGGTGGAGCCCAAGTTCACATAGCTGGCTGCTGAGAAGAGCTATTTAATTTAGGTGCCTGGGTTGTGCTTCCCACAGCGCTCCACTACCGTGGATTTTCCTCCTTCCCATCTTGAGGGTAATTCAGATACATCGGCTCGAAGTTGAAATCTTAAGACTTTGTGCTCTTTTTCATTTCTTCTATAAATGATGCAAAAGCAAAAAAGCCTCTATAATCTTGGCTAATGTGATTCCAGAACCTTCTCATAACTCAGAAATGGGGTCTTCTCAAATGATTCATCTCATTCCAACAAGCTGCGCCACGCAGTCCACAGCCCTTTCCCAGCAGCTTTACGTGACTGTTGTCCAGACAGGCTGAGCTGAGGTGACACAGAACTACTTACTCCCTGGCCTCTTTTCGCTCCCCGGATCCCAGCACATGGCGGGGATTCTGTGCTGTCGTGTATAGCTAGCCAGGCAGAGCAGAAGGTAATTCATACACCTGTGAAGTTGAATTTGGAGTCCCCTGGCCTGAGTCACAGACCCGCCCCTTCATGTCCACCTGCCTCTACAATTTGCCTTCTAGTGGACCAGTAGCCTTCCACCTCTGTCCTCAAGGATCTGCATGTTAGCTGGTGGTCGTGATAGCCACAATCACTGAACCGCTAGCTCGGTGGTCCCTTCTCCTAGGAGTGTTTATACCTAGCACCTGGGGTCTGACATTGGAACGGAAGACATATGGTAGCACGCCTCAAGCTGCCTCATCAGGTTTGATTTGGGAGGACCGCAAGCTCTGCTCCTGGAGTCATGCCTCTTTCCCCCAGGGCTTCCTGATTTGGGGTGTGGGGCGGGTGCTGGGAGGATGGAGGCCTGCTTGCTGGGCCAAGAGGAAATTTGGTTTTCATGAGAGTGAGAATCACTAACTTAAAAACACTTCTAGCCAAGGAACGTTTGGAAACCGAGGCCTGGCGAGGGCCTCGGGGTGTGTGTGTGTGTGTGTGTCGGGGGGGATGCTTTTGGGATTGGGAAGGGACTTCAATAAGCACTCATTTCTCACGCGCACGCGTGGAAGCAGGAAATCGGCTTGGTTGTAGTTGTAGTTCCAGAGTTGCCCACAAGATGGCGGAGGAACTCTGTTCACAGCGTCCCGGCGCACAGCCATTAAGTCTGGAAGATGGTTTGGTTTGATGAAGCCTTTCAGGTCTTCACAAGATAGCTGACATTTAAAGCATTCTGCTTCAGTATTCAATGGAAAGTCGCGCTCCTAATACACTAAATGAAAAGTGTAGGGAAGCTCCCAGGAATGTGGATAAGAGGTCAGTGTCAGATAAGGGAATTGGTAATGGGGGTGGGGTGGGGGTGGGTTGTGTTTGGGGTGTGGGTCGGGGAGTGTAAACTGTTCGAAGGCAGGCTTGACTGGTGGTTTAGCTGTTCACTACATGGGATGTTTTCTATGAATAACACTAAGCTGTGTGCAGTGGCGACAGCAATCCAAACAGCCTCTGCCTTTGGAGAGCTTACATCCTACTGGACAATAGCTTAGGTTAATATATATATATATATATATATATATATATATATATATATATATATATATATATAACTGGTGTGTCAGATGACAACGATACTATGGGGACATCAGGTGGGAGTGGAGGGCTCTATCTTTAAATCCATGGTCACAGACGACCTCCTGAGAGGGACGACACTTCATTGAGACCCGAAGGCTTGTTGAGCAAGCCCTGAAAACCTTCGGGGAAAGACTTCCGGCAGAGGGCACAGTAACGTAGCAGTCCTGTGAGGGAATCAAGGAGGCCAGGCTGGATGCCGGGCAGAGTGAGGCTGGAGAGCAGGATGTGAGTCAGAGAGAGGCTGGGGTGAAGAGGGGGAGTTTAAAAATGGTTTTTCTTAGCATGTATGAAGTGTGCATTATAATGGGCTCACCATGCCATTCTCTACATACACATTTCATATTTCAGTCATATATTCACTCCTTGCTACCCTGCTCTGTTCCCTCCAACTCCCAAAAGCCATTTCCTCCTCTTAATTAGCCCCCCTTATTACTTTCACCTTTCATGTTTTTGTGACTTAGTGAGTTTAATTCCAGTTATTTACAGTTATTTATTACACTGGCTGCCCCACTGAAGAATGCATTTCTGGAGAAAAGGGGAATTTTGAAGAGGGAGGATGAAAATAAACCTTGTAAGAGAGGGGGTAATGGCCAACACCCTACCAAAACAGCACCCAGCCAGGCCAGCACTACCAAAACAGCACCCAGCCAGGCCAGCACTACCAAAACAGCACCCAGCCAGGCCAGCACTACCAAAACAGCACCCAGCCATGCCAGCACCCTACCAAAACAGCACCCAGCCATGCTAGCACCCTACCAAAACAGTACTCAGCTAGGCCAGCACCCTACCATAACAGCACCCAGCCATGCCAGCACCCTACCAAAACAGCACCCAGCCATGCCAGCACCCTACCAAAACAGCACCCAGCCATGCCAACACCCTACCAAAACAGCACCCAGCCATGCCAGCACCCTACCAAAACAGCACCCAGCCATGCCAACACCCTACCAAAACAGCACCCAGCCAGGCCAGCACTACCAAAACAGCACCCAGCCATGCCAGCACCCTACCAAAATAGCACCCAGCCATGCCAGCACCCTACCAAAACAGCACCCAGCCATGCTAGCACCCTACCAAAACAGTACTCAGCTAGGCCAGCACCCTACCAAAAGCACCCAACCAGGCCAGCACTACCAAAACAACACCCAGCCATGCCAGCACCCTACCAAAACAGCACCCAGCCATGCCAACACCCTACCAAAACAGCATCTAGCTATGCTAACACCCTACCAAACACAGCACCCAGCCATGCCAGTACTCTACCAAAACAGCATTCAGCCATGCCAGTACTCTACCAAAACAACACCCAGCCATGCCAACACCCTACCAAAACAGCATCCAGCCAGGCCAGCACCCAGCCAGGCTCTCTCAGCCTTTGCCCAGCCCATGCTTGGGATTCTGCTGTTCAGGGCCCAGGAGAGGGCATGCCAGCCGCCCGCCTGTCCAGCTCCCCCCACGAGGTACCAGTGCCTCCGGTAAGCTGGGCTTTGAAGGTTGGGTCCGATACTAATGGGGAGCAGCTAGAATGGAGTGGGAAGGCTCCTCAGCCAGGGAAACAAGCCGACATTTGACAAATGTCTTTGTGTGGAGACCAGTGTCCCTTTCTGGAGTCATGGAAACCATTTTATCATTTCCCCGATCCCCTGCTTTGGCCTAGGCGCAGTTTCCATGACATCTGCCTTACGGCAGATGGAGGCCTGGAGCCAGAGGCTAAGTAATTTTTTTTTTAAATTTTTTAAAGAGGTTTAAGCAGGACAATACATGTTATACAATTAAAAAAAACAAGATTAAGAAAGAAAAACTGCCTTTTGGCCTCTTCACTTCTCCCACCTACTGACCCCTGGCATCTTTCCAAAATGAGAAATGAGAAACTCGTATTTCTCCTGGCTTCCAGATAGGGATCAGATTATTTTTCTACCACTGGAATATAAAATTAATTTATAGCCTCGGTTAAATTTGATTTAAAAAAATTTCAGCCTCTCTTACACACACACACACACACACACACACACACACACACACACACACACACACTCGATTGAGATATTTTTGTTGTTGTTGACGTTTTAAACAGTTACTCCACAGACCCAGCATCAGGTTTCATGGAGTGCTTATTTTCAGTGATTCTGTTCTTGGATACTTTCCAATTATTTCCAGAGGACAAACTCATGCTGTGTGTATAAGAACCTCAAAAAAAAAAAAAATCTTCCTGGCAGGAAGAGCTCTGATGAATTCAATTTTGGGAGGGTAGAGCTTCAGAGGCTGGTTGAAGTAGAAACTGTAAGGCTTTCACAGGAGGTGCTTTGAGGCTGGGGAGCAGGGAGACCCTTGGATAAGCAGAAGGGACCGGCTACCCACTTTTCCTTCTCCACTTGGCTCTTGCTATATCAGCTTGCTGGTAGCTGCTGTAAGGAGAAATATCAAAGAACAAAGAGAGCTTCAGACGGAGAGCCTTAGCTCTGAGCACGGAAATGGCTTGTTCCTGGGGTCTCCAAAGCTGCTTACCCATCACCATCATCAGAGATGCTTGTGTGGTGAGGTGACCCCCACATCCGAGCTTCTAGGTCAGTCCAGGTCTGATAATACACAAATTGCTGGCGAAATTCTGCCGAGCCTGGGATACCATATTGACAGTCTGAAATGATTTCACACATTTCAATAGAAATGGGGGAGTTTCAGGACTAAGATCAGGAAGTGGTCTGCTGCTTCAGCTGCTTTGTGACCAGGACTACTCCCTTTGTGTTTCTTAGACAGGACCTTCCTCTACAGCTGGCCTCAAACTCAGGGCAATTCTCCTGTCTCAGTCTCCTGAGTGCAGGGATAATGGATGTGAACCATCGTGCTCACTTTAGTTTGTTTTTGTGTTTAAACTTGTGTGTGTGTGTGTGTGTGTGCACTCGTGTGCACGTGTGTGCACGCGCATGCGCGCATGCATGTGCTTACATACATGTGTGTGTCTGTGTGTCTGTGTGTGTACATGTGGAGGTCAGAGAACAGCTTCTGGTGTTATTCCTCAGGACCACCCGTATATTGAGATAGTTTCTCGTTAGCCTGGTTCTCTTCAAGTAGACTAGGATGACTGACTACTGAGCCCCAGGGACCCACCGGTCTCTGCCTCCCCAGTGCTGAGATTACAAGTACTAACCATGCCATCATGTCTCACTTTCTCTCCCTCTTCTTTAAACATGGATGCTGGGGATGGGACACAAGAAAACACTTTTCTTTTCTACAAGAAAGGCACCTTACCAACAGAACAATCTCCCTAGCCTTCATTTTCTTTTAAAGACAAGTTTCCTATGTAGATGAAGATGTTAAGAACCAAGAAGAGCCATAAGGAAGAACATGACTTTGAGACTTCCCTTGTGCACAGGGTGATGGTTTCCTTACTCTTTTGAGTATTCTGCTTTGCTTTGCCAATGAACACTGTCATCAAACACTATTCGTGTGGTCCACAAGGCCCTGGCCCATGACTCTGCTGCTCAGGCTAGAGCCAATAGGTCTGACTTTGTTTATGGAAGGAGCTTATGCATATTGATATGTGTTTGTCATTCACACAGATGTGACAGTGACTTCAGGCTTGGTCTCTGCTGACATTCGTCAGCCTGGCAGAAATGCTCACCTTTTATATCATCCTTGCTGGAGTGTTTATCTTACTCTATTTTCCTGCTGTTAAGATAAAAATACTCTGACAGAAGCAGCTTAAGTGAGAAAGGGTCTATTTTGGCTTACAAGTGGAGATGATTGATGGTTCGGCAAGGTGGGGAAGTCACAGTGGCCGACACTGGAAGGAACCGGCCAGATGGCACCTACAACCAAGAATCGGAGAGTGATAAATGGTTGTGCATAGCTCAATTTCTCCTCCTTCTGCACCCACAGAATGGTGCCATCCGCAGTGGATGAGTCTTCCCACTTCAGTTCACCTAATCAAGATAATCCATCCCAGGCATGCCCAGAGGCCCATCTCCTAGGTCATTCTCGATTTCATCAAGTTGACAACTGAGATTGACCACTACAGCATCACTAATAAGCAAGGCAGGATGACTGCTCTCCAGGCACTGGAGAAACCAACATTTTCTTAATGAATGAAGGATGGCAGCCACCCCGTCTCTTTCTCATTGAGTGTCATGGAAATTGAGATTGCAGGAGACTGGCTGCCCTGTGTGAGAAGTCCTGGTTTTTATGGCAACATCCCAGCACTAGTTCAAAGGAGCCTTCTCCATTAGCAGTGGAGATATCAAGATTAACAGAGGACCTCGTCTCAGAGGTCTTGGCTAGCTTTAGAATCATAATCTGACAATGAAGTGTGATACTTGGAGAATGTCTCCTCTGTGGGAACTTAATGGCTCCCTGCCAGGCCATAACTGGCTTCCTCCAAAGAGTCTTAAACATGAAGACATGACCAACTCATTTATGGCTTCTCTCCATTAACAGGGATGCCTTCTCTCCATGGATGGAGCAATGACTACCAATGGTTCAAACTATGTAAAGAAATATGGCTCAGTTATAAGACATTGTATTGAGAGTCTCTAGAGCAGTCCTTCTCAACCTTCCGAATGCTGTGACCCTTTAGTACAGCTCCTCATGGTGTGGTGGCCCCCAACCATAAAACTATTCCCATTGCTACTTCACAACTGTAATTTGGCTAGTTATGAATCATAATGAAATTATCTGATATACAGGATGTTTGA